CATGAGCTGTCATAGGCTGTCATATAGACCCAAAGAAGACCCACGGGATTGAAGTAAAAGTAGCTTTGTAGCAACAGGGGCCGGTCGGCTCGGGTGCTTTTACAGCACTCGTGGAAGCACAGGGCGGAAGGCGTCTGGGATTGCCAGGCCAGTGCCACCCCTTAAATACCTAACCACCTGGACTACCTCAGCTTCTGCCCAAAAGCTGTCAAACTGCATACCTTGGAAGATATCCTCGGGCGAGGGGATGTCATTGGGATCCTCTGGCAAGGTCGGGGCGCCATAGTGCTCCTGCCTCATATCATTGGCCAAGTTGGCGAGCTTTTGGCCGAATTTCATCGGATACTCCCTTGACTGATTCGTTTTAATTCACAAAAAACAGCGCTCCCCTCTCTCATCTATCTTGTCCTACCACTCAAAACCCATAAAGTGTTCTACAACTGCTAAGAGCATACGGGTGAGTCAGAAAGCAAGGCAGTCAGCATTAACAGGGCTATGTGAATGTGAGCACAATGTGCTCTCCAAAGAAAGCTTGGGGCCCCACTCGGAGCGCTTCAAAGCAGGGGTCCCCACGAATCGTTTTTGCCCCCACTTGTCCACGTATTTTCTGCAGGTGGCCTGGTAGCGGCCCTTCACATACGATAGCCTCCCGCAGTCCAAGCGTGTGATTGCTGGCGAATTTGAAAGGCCGTAGTGGCGTTTCGGACTTCGCGTACTATCTTGATGATAGTGCGCCATCCACCACGTTGTCTTCGTAACCTGAGCTGGAAAAGGTTTCAGGGCAACCATGGTTCCCACAGTGTTGCGCCAAAGCGTTTTCCCTTCACTGTTACTGCTGATCATTCATTCTATTAGCAGCAACACTACACTGCTACCACTCCTTTTTTACTGACCTGCTGCCTTTATGTCATTGTCGCTTTGGAGGCCCCTGAAACCACTGGAGGCCTTGTGAAGGCCCATGGATGCCTTTGGAAGTGCCTTTTGGGGTTTGATTGGGTGTTGTTGGGTTCCATTTTCCGGTGCAATGACCAACACCATCAAATCTGGCTTAGGATTTCTTTCCAGCTGGGCTCCTTCGAGCGGTGCTTTAACCAAAACCATTTACTTTTGACCCCTTCATACCCTTCTTTGGGCGGTGCTAAAATCAAAACAGCGTCCTTTCAGAGCCCAGCAACCCACTTACAGGCGGGGCTTTAACCAAAACCACTTACCTTTGACCCCTTCAAACCCTTCTTTGGGCGGTGCTGAAACCAAACGCGCGTCCTTTTAGAGCCCAGCAAGTCATTTTCAGGCGGTGCTTTAACCAAAACCACGTGATTTTCCTGGCCTCGGCTGATCCCATCACAAACTAGCACACCCTCAACACCCACTTGAGATAGCTAACAAGCACACCTTCCTGGGGAAGTACTTACGATGCATGGCAGGATCAAGTTTCGCCAGCCAGTCCCGACGCATCCAATTTTATAGAGGTTAGTGGTAATCACCGGCCTTTCCTCGTTAGGATCTGCGTTAAGAGGACATCATGGTGTACGTGTACAAGCACTTGAACGGAACCCGGGGTTGAATCTTACAAGACTGCTAAGCAAACTTCCCGTGTGACAACGCCACCAAGAATTGGCCAAGTACAGCTTTTGGGGCAGGACATTCATGAGAGGGCTCGCAATAAGCATATAAGTGTAGAGNNCAAGTTGAGGGGTAAGGCCACCAGCAAGGCCTCCCAAGACCTCTCAAGACCTCCCAAGACCCCCCAGATACCATCAGAAGTACCATAGAGACCCACAGCTCGAAGTCTCTATGGTACTTGGGACCCCAGAACCCCCCAAAGAACTCCCAAGACCCACCAGCAAGGCCTCCCAAAACCCCTCAAGACCTTGCAAGACGCCCCAGATATCATCACAAGTACCATAGAGACCCACAGCTCAACGTCTTATGGTACTTGGGACCCCATTTTGCCCGCAAGGACCCCGGCTTGAGAAGAGCCCCCGACTGGTGCATCATAGCATCGTTCGATAAGTTTAATGGGTCTGCTGTAATGGGGTTCATAGGGTTTACAGGGTTTATGGGGCTTATAGGGTTTATAGGGCTTATAGGGCTCATAGGATGTATATAGGGTTCAATTTATAGGGCTCGTATGAGTTGATAGGGTTTATAGGGTATATATATATATACAAAGGATACATAATATAGGGCTTCCAGTCCTTGCGCTAATTCCAATTGGGGCCTACCTGCTAGCAATTTTCCTCTCTCCCATGGTTCCAATTTGGGCCTGCGTGTTGGCAACTAACTATTTCTGTGTTGGAGGTGTCAGGGGAGCACGAACCTCATGTGAACTGTAGTCTAAACTCCTTCAAGGTGATTATGTAGGGGAGTATTACAGGGGCTATATTGAAGGGGATACTAGGAGTTTATAGACTACAGCTCATATGCCACTGTGTAAAGAATTGAACCGAAGGCCTGACCCCAACAAGGAAGCAACTTGTATCCTAGGAACAGCATCTGCTCGCCAACGGGGGCAGAAACGGTTAAGCATCCCCACAAACCATCGCCATCTCGGATAGAACTCTAAGTAGCTCCCTCCTGGTTGCTCTAGCAGGAAGGTCCCCTGCATGCAGACCACCAAGGCCATCAAAAGAATGCTCCTGGGCTGACTCACTGGACGAATCCGCCCCAAGTAAACAGTAGTTATAAGCAGCTGCTCAGTACCGTAGCAACTGAGATTAAGCAAGATTCCGCGAAGCTAGCAAGTTACCTTGCCTGACTGATTCGTGGTCCGTGTTGCCAATCGCAGAACATGGGCTCCTACAACTCGTGCCAGCATTGACTGGCGTCCATGTGGAGCACTTAAGTCCAAAGTGAGCGAGGAAGTCACCTTCCTTGCCCATCAGGATGATGGCAATTGCTAGCCTGAAGCAAAAGGGTCGCGGGTACAGTTTGTTCGTTGATTCAGCCTGGGATGTTGAGGCAAAGTTGGGGTCACCTCGAGCAGAATTGAAACTCATCTCCCGTTGACGTTCTAAACCCTGCATGAAGCTTTACTCACAGCTTATCTTTCACCGGGAACCTTTCATGAATTCGAAATCTCCTTAGAAGAGCCCATGATCATTGCAGAGTGACGAAAAGCCAGAATCAGTACGAAGATCCATCGCTCGCTTCTTTCGGGGGTTGTCTGCGCCGTAAAGAATGTCCAGTCTGGCCCCACGTGCCCCATGAAACCTTGCCATCCACGTTGCATTTGCGCGTCCAGCGAAAAATTCAATCCACTGGAATTTATCGGAGTCCTATACAGGGGTGTCGTTGAACATAGCAGACAACACTTATACTCCAACCATGCAGAATTCCACCTCTCAGTTGCGCAAAGCCATCCTGGGTGGCAGCCGGGAACACTGGGCCGGGCACAGCCTGGATCTTGCCAAAGTCCGTCCAAAACACGAGTAGGACAGCAAGCACAAAGACCTGCACACAGACAGTGGCAGGTACCGCGGCCAAGATTGCTGATGTAGCTCGACTTTAGCCTTATAGGCATTCAATCCCCACCCTGCGCTCAGCTCACTCCCACAAGAAACCCTCTTGAATTGTCGGGGCGCCGAGAAAACTGTGCAGGAGCCCTATGTGTTCATAAAACTTATAGAAGCATTCGAGGATTACTTTGGCTGGATGTCGGTCTTCTTAACTCTCATGGTTTGCTCTGGCGGCCTTGGGCACCTCCATAGCACGGAGACGCCACAAGAGAGTAGCGAGGGAGATCATGCTTCAGGGCCAGTCTAAAGCTTCCTGCTACTCAGAAGACTTGCATAGGCCAAGCGCCTGCAAAGCTACCGTCCATGCCTAACATACTGTTGCTGGAAAACCTGTCCTGAGGTGGTACATGAAAAGTTCCTCCTCACTAGACTTACTTGCCTCGATTAAAAAGTAGCGATAGGACATGCGCTGAAGCCAGCATTCCTGTCTGAAGCAGGTGTCCCTATTAGGAGTTGCTGCGCAAGCCCATGTCTGTCTTCACATGCGCACCAGCTGACTTGCATGAGCTCACAGAAGCCCTTCCCAGATAATACATGGCCGTTGTACCGTGGTCTGCCTCCAGACCCGCTTTGAATGCCCAGGCACGTCCCCTTTTCGCGCCCGGCATGGACCTGGGCGCACGGGATCTTGACGAGAATACTGCTATGAAAGTGAGACTGGATGCCACTACACATCTTCATAGGACCACATTAGGTGAATACATGTGTGTACGCCTTCACGTCATATAAGAATTGAACCTTTCAGGATGATTGCCTCCGTTCCTACGCGTAAACCCTCTCTTAGACATGTAGGGCTGTAGTGCTTCAGCTTTGCATCAATGGTCTTTGAGGCTCTGCGTGCACAAGGTTTGCAGGTGTCCCCAAGCTACACCCAAGACATATGTAACTAGCCCTCGGTATACATTCGTTGCTACTCCTAGCTTCGTAGGCAGGACCAAGTGTTATGAAAATGAAGGAACAAGTGGATCACTTCAGAAAAGGACTGGGCAGGATGGGGATTGAGGGTTCCTGGGACTTGGGGATTGAGGTCTATATAGGGTTTAGGTGCATTGCGTACAGAACATCCTAGCTGCGCAGAGCCAGCCTCCTGTGCTTCCAAAGCTTGACAACAGAATCAGAGGTAGAATATATACACAATAGTTGTATAAGATAACTATATGAGCTAGAGTCTTCACTCCTTAAAGGGGGGTTTATAGGTTTAGGGTTTATATATGGCGTATAAGTTATAGAGGTTATATGAGCTATAGTCTAAATTAACTCCTTAAGGGAGGCTTATATAGGGTTCAGGCTCCATAGGGTCTAAATTCCTTCAAGGGCGGTTACACAGGGAATTATATAGTGGACTGTTATAGGGGTTGCTAAGGGGCATACTAGTAGTTTAGATTATGGCTTAACTAAGCTAGATAGGGATGCCTATGTGGTGCCTGAATATGTCTCACTAGATTGTTGGAGGCAAGCGCTGCGAAATCGTAATTACCACACTGCACACATAGCGCTACTAACTCAGAACGGAAGCACCCTTTTCATCAGACCTGCGTCGTGATTCTGGCGCCGCCTGAATTTCAAGCAAGAGGCAAATTGTGTCACGACACAAGCTCCAATTTGGGCCCACTGTGTTTCGCTAACACAGCGGGATCAGCCTGCGTGGCGGTCAAATTGTTAAGCTAAGGATGAGCTTCACGGAGAGTGCGGGTGTGGACCTGCCCTGATCGCTACCCCAAGAAGATCCCGCAGGCGCGGGAGTTTACATTGGAAGCTGTAACTTGTGCTAGGCTGCTAGGTGTCAAGTACCAGGCACAGGTCGCATCCACTTCAAGCCCATTTGGTAATCTAATGGTTCTCCCACTCCCCAAGCCGGCTCAAAGCCTCATTCACCGCAAGCTGGGCTCCATATCTCATGAGGGCCGCGTAATGCTTAAACGTAGATGTGGGATCCCGAAAGTCATTCATAGCACCGGGCTCACGTGCGACCATGTCCTTCATGAACTGCGCCTGGGGTTGTGACAACTGTACAGTTGATTGCGCAGGGCGTTGGGGGGATCTAGATGCCCAGGTACCTTGGTACAATGCCAAAACTACACCTAAATCCTAAACCGCCTAAAATCCCACAACCCTATACAAACCCCAAACCTTATGAAGCCTATAGACGCGGAGGGCAAGAGTAATTCAACACCCACAGAATTTTACATAGATGTAGATGCTGTGACACGGGTGGAAAATCAGTCTGCTAGTGGAGGCTAGGCTCAAGCTCGTGGGCAGCAAGAAACGCTGCTGACATGAGAACATTCCAGTTCCCAGCCCTGGCGGGGTTTCCTGTGAACTTGTACTGCACAAGCTGCGGCTTTCCCGGGGCCTCCGTGTACTTCAAGCCACATGTGGTCCGGGTCCAGTACACATTGAGCTCGAAAATGCTGTTCGCCTGACGGCCATCGAGCAAGGTGGACTGCAAGACGTCAAAGGGCATATGGGCACACTTCATGATGGACTCCGTCATGCTTGCTTTAATGGTCTGCACGCGGCGCACATCCTCTGGGAACAGCTCCGACAAGTCATCAATGACCAGCTCTCCACGGCCTTTGCCCTTTCCCTTCGCCTTCGCCTTTGGGCGTGCGGCAGCCTTAGCGCCTGCCTTTGCCGTCGCCTTTGCCATCGCCTTTGCCTTCCCCTTTGCCTTCGCCTTTGCCTTTGCCTTGGGCAACGGGCTGGCAGGGGAGGCCACATCGGCGCAGCCTTCCACGTCCAAGGACTCCATCAATGAGGCCTCCATCACCTGATCATCCAAGGGCACGTCCTCGACAGCCTTGCCCTTCACCTTGCCCTTCGCCATGCCCTTCCCTTTGGGCTTGGCCTTCTCAGCCATCACGGAGGCCTTGGTCTTGGCCCTCTTCGCCATGATGGCGCCTGCGCCCTCAATCTCAGGATTCTCAGCCTCATCCGGCAAGCTTGGCTCAGCCTGACGCTTCCTTCCCGCACGCTTTGGAGCAGCAGCGGGCTCACTGGGTTCCACAGGCTCAACACCATTTCTCCCGCGACCCCTTCCCTTGCCGCGCCCGCGGCCACGACCTTTGTATGTGGCCCCAACCCTCGCAGGGGTTGGCACTGGTCTGGAACCAGCATCCGGATCCGCTTCACCAACCTCACAGTTGGCCGCCTTCTTTTCCTTCTCCAACCGCTTGGCCTCTTTGATATCATCCTTCAAGGCCAACTGCTCACGGCGCGTGAGGACCTCGAAGCACCCTCCAATCTAGAATCTAGACAAGGTTGCCTCATCACTCCATGGGTTACAACAGCACTATGTACTCGATTAAAACCAACTTGTGCTTCTTTTGTCCACAAACAGAACCTGACCATGAACAGGGGTTGTGGGGCCATGGGCTGGCAAGGAATGCTCGGAAGGGGTTGACATGGCCACCAGACCAGTTCCCATAGCAGCTGGCGTTGGACTCGGAGAAATCTCCGACACTTGCGAATCATTACCCGCATCCTGGAAAAGCTGGCGCCGAACACCAGAGCCCTCACTAGGCGTGCGGACCACCAGCGTATCGTCCGTGTCAAGGGCGTAATGCATAGGTCCTGCTGAGCATTCTAGAAAAACTAAGGACATAGAAATTCGACTCTCATGCGGCGTACTTGTTTGCCAAAAATGAATGGAAGTACATGCCACACTGCGAGGTTTATATGTGTCGCGAGGACATACACCCGCTTGCAATTCATTCCCAGCTGATTGGAGGATTGGAGGGTCGGGGGTCTGGGTAAGCACATCTACATCAATTATAAGTATGAATATACATACGTACCTCTATAGATATGTATATATATACATACATGAATTTACCAAGCCCCCGACACACCAAGTAGATGTAAATTTGTGGGAGCCCGTCTGATGGAGCGGTTGAATGCTCTACTGAAACATGTTGGTTGCCCCGCTGCAGCGTGCCTGTCTTCGTCAATCCTAAATCCTATTTAAACCCTATATATAAACCCTACATAGATACATATATATAATTCAAATAAACCCTAAATCCTATAAA